TTCAAAGACAATATGTTTTCAGCGACAAGTTCTAAAAACTGACAACAGTACTAAAGTTGCTTTTTAAAATACCCACGGGATTGGGTCATAAAAATGTTAAAATTAGATTAAATCAAAAAGAAATATTTTGAAATCTGATATTGCAAACTATGATGAAGCCGGTGCATAACTTTCTAGAATTTCCAGAATGAAACATTTCTTAATAATTACATACAGTAATTATTTTTTCTCGTTTTTCCACATGACTCCCTAATATGCATATCGCCGTATTGTGGTATGCAGATATGTATGTCTGTTTTGAATGTACATGACATCCACACTCTGGTACACGGAAAATAGAATGATGGATTCAGCCTGATGGTGGTAGGGCAAGGGTTCCAGCAGGAACTGTCACCCACAAATAGGCGTTTCCATGTTAGAAGATTACACATACAGGAAGGCTGCCTTGTAACTGGAGTACCACGTGTTGACAGCGGAATTATACACACAGCTTTTTAACAATTAGGGCGGTGGGGTAGCCTAGTGGTTAAAGGGTTCGCTCGTCATGCCGAAGACCCGGGTTCGATTCCCCACATGGGTAAAATGCGTGAAGCCCATTTCTGGTGTCCCCCGTCGTGATATTGCTGCAATATTTCTAAAAGCGGCGTAAAACTAAACACCCTCACTGACTTTTAACGAGTGGACGGCGTTGTGTACATACGAGAAAACTCCCGAAGTTCAAATGGGCCAGACTTCAATCACATGGAGTAGACTTTTAAATTTTGTAATAAAAGTGTGGTCCAAGGATATCTGCAAGATTCTGAAAAGACCCAGCTCGCATACAAAATATCACAGACAAAGTGTTTGCATGTGTGAAATAATATTACTGTTTATTGTGTAGGTTTTCTATAGACATCAAATGGAGATACTTAAGCAAGACCCCGACTCCCCCACAATGTTTTATAGCCAAAGGAATACACGTATAATCTAATAGGACTGTTTCTGTGTGAGTTCTACAAACACATTAAATGGCATTGAATGTGGCTGATGGCCTAAGAGATTGTTGACCAACAAAATACAACCATTGATAATCCTTACAAACGTCCATTTCCATGTTATTGTGTGACCATTAAAGCAACTGTTTTCTTGTCGTCATGTGTGGACACTACCATAAGGAGGTGATATAGCATGTGTGACAACTGGCATATTTTACACCCGATCTCAATGTTCACCAAGTCATTTTCACTTGAAATTGGAAGAGCTAATTCACTCATCACAAATAGTGTGTTTCAGCAGAATCACAGAAACTTTTCGTCCGTGACACAAAAGACGCATAAAACAGAGCCGCCCAACAATACATCCCAAAGTCAAAAGGAACTTCCAAGTAACATCTGAGACACCTTATATATTTCTGCATAAGAATGACAGACCGTTACTCTTGAAGAATAATGACGTGCTTGCTTCCAGCAAAGGCTGTGTTCATGGTACACCACGAAAATAATATTTTCGTTTCTAGTACGTTCAGGGTAATCCTTTAAAAACCTGTGCAATTTATTAAGGCGGAAATGAAAAGGATGTGAATCTATTATCCCACAGAGGTAGATGTTTGCGTCTGTTTCGTTTAGTTCCGCTTAAGACACTTGTCAAAACACACGACCTTCCCATTTACAACAATTTAGAATTGTCTTGATGTTTGGATAGTATTATCTACATGACAACTATGTACTTATCATTGTTGTTTGAAATATTAACCTTTGGTTTGCCTTGCCATGACTCGGCATGTAACTGTAATGGTGTTGTCCGAAGCAGATCCCCCAATCCCCCTCAAACACACCTATAAAACAACAAATCATGCCTGTGGTATGCTAGGTATTTGTCTACATCACGAAACACCCCAAACATATACTTGAATGCATGTTAAAATGAACGAGGAGCGTGCGCCACATATACATGAACTGGGGACACATGCCATCGAAAATGAATTACCAGTGACCGAAACACAACAGCGTTTAGATCATGAATTTCATGTCATGCTGTGCATTATTTACGCTGAAATAACTGATGGTGGGACATCCAAGCATTGGCATGGCAAAGTTTCACCACGACCATATCTGGGGCACGAGCATCACCACCTTAGATTCCTTCTCTCGCACAGTGAGTGAGTGAGTTTAGTTTTACGCCGCGCTCAGCAATATTCCAGCTATATGGCGGCGGTCTGTAAATAATCGAGTCTGGACCAAACAATCCAGTGATCAACAGCATGAGCATCGATCTGCGCAATTGGGATACGATGTCATGTTTCAACCAAGTCAGCGAGCCTGACCACCCGATCCCGTCAGTCGCCTCTTACAAGTATGGGTTACTGAAGTTCAATTTTAACGCGGATCTTCACGGGTCTACCCTTGCATAGGCGTCAGGCCCACGTCAGAACCTTATTTGTACCTACCTACATGAAGCTGTATGGGCGGGGCGGAAGTATTATTCGCCAAAAGCTGAGCGTATCCTGCCCCACGGGTGGCACTGGTCAACACACACGATAAGACAACGCTAAAAGCATGTTTCGTTGATCTGTGTTGCACTTGATACGCTATAGAATTACCGGGTGTCTACTCTATCGATACCAAGAAAACATTTGAAAAAGGTAACACTTTCAGATTCATTATTTACTGAAATCACCATCACCAACACACCTTTCAAATTGGACACGGCATATACAAATATAATATTTTGAAATCATTATATATACTTTCCCAAAAAAGAAACGCATAGGCGATTTGTATTTTTAAAAATCTATTAATTACCTATTGGGTTCAAACAGTCGTCAAAATATGTAACAAAAGTGTTGATAACATGATTTTACACAATTGCACAAGTAAATAATCGATTTTACCGGAAAATGTTGATTTTGATGAGATTTTTTACAAGGGTTAAAAATGCATCGCCACAACGCAACAGAAATCACCTTCCAGTTGAAATTGTGCAGCAAAGAGCATGCACTGTCTGGCAATAAAAATCCAGATTACTTTCGAAAATTGGCATTCGTTTTGAAGGAGTTTCAAGGTCAAATCACAACGCCACGTCTTGACTCTGCGACACGGAACATCGCCATTGAAAGAATGCACGCTGGAGATTACCAATCTTCTGTTGCCAGGCGTCTGAATGTTAGTCTGAGCACGATATCACGGCTTGCAGCTCGTTACAACCAAACAGGTATAACAAATGACTGTCCCCGTACAGGCAGACCTCGAGTCACCACTGCAGCCCAAGATCGGTACATCCGGGTACTACATTTGCGTGATCGTACTGCCACGGGTGAGACTACAGCAGCCAGCCTGGATGTCGGAAGATATCCGGTCAAACTGTACGGACCAGGTTGAAAGAGATTGGTCTGAGAGCCAGGAGACCTGACGTCGGGACCGTGCTTCGTGGTCACCATCGCGCCCAACGTCTCCGTTATCTACAAGTATTCACGTGGTTGTATAGACATTACCTTCTTCTAAACTGGTGTAAAAATTCATGCACTAAAGTCTATTTGTGGACGAGTTATACATGTTTGAAAATACAACATTTTCGTAACAGGTTTCTGGCATATGCGTTTCTTTTTTTGGATAGTATATTTAACATTTCGATCTGTAAGTAGATCATTAAGACATGTTCATGGTGATGGTGGAGGCAAGATGTGGCTTTGTAAGGGGACATATTGTTGTATCTGGCAGTGTCACATCGTGTATCTGGATGTGCGTATTTCGTAAAATACATTTTCTATTATCGTTACAACACGAAGCTGTATATTTTGTTCGAAATTAACGTCGGTCCTTAGGCCCGAAGCCGACTGAAAACCACTCGGACCCACTGCTTTTGTTTTCTGCAGGTCCTTATGGCCGACAGCTTTTTCATCCCCAATAACTAACAGTATTATTTCCATATTAAAACATTGGGCCTACACATTCTGATCAGGACCCACAAACTTTTTATGGTCCTGGGTCCTTCGGGCCTGCAGCTTTTCAGCGTTAAGGGCAAACACTGGGTGGAACAGTTATTTTCAAGCAATAAACAGCACGTTTGCATACGAGAAGGTATAAATAAATATGTCTTTGAAAGAAGTGATATTTATTAGCAGTGTTGACACTGGTCCTTGCATAAAATGCCATCAATTCATCATATATATAGTCCCTTGTCCGTCTACACCTTTGGGCACCTGCGGCTTCTTGCTTGTCATTGGTCAGAAATGAGTTCATCTGTCATGGAAAGGCGTTGACACATCAAGTCACCATAGCAACACGGCATGTCTTAAGAGTAGGTCTTGATGTACACTTGAAAATATAACAACTCACAGTCCATATGTGGTGGGATGGTATATTGGGGAATGGACATAAGTTGATATCGTTAACTCTTCAGCGGAGGACTTGTTTTTCATCAGTATGGTAAAATAGATTCCATTGTTGTTTCGTTGCTGTTTTCGGTTTAGTTGAGTGAGTGAATTTGGTTTTACGCCACTTTTAGCAATATTCCAGCAATATCAAAGGGGGGGGGGGGGGACACCGGAATGGGCTTTAGACATTGTACCCATGTGGGGATCGAACCCGGGTCTTCGGCGTGACGAGCTAACGCTTAAACCATTAGGCTACCCCACCGACCCCGGTTTAGTTGAAGAGTCCTATGTAAGACACTCATTCATCTAAAGGAGAGTGTACATTGGAATTCATTTCATTTCCAATATTTTACTCCTCCAATGTTTTTAAAAATAACTCTCAAAAAGAGAAACCATCCTCCCTCCCAAAGCGACCCGTGAAGATCCGGGTTAGAATTGGCCGCCAGTAATCCATGCTTGTCATAAGAGGCGACTAACGGGATCTGGCGGTCAGGCTCGCTTACTTGGTCGACACATGTCATCGTATCCCAATAGCATAGATCGTTGTTCATGCTGTTGATCACTGGATTGTCTGGTCCAAACTCGATTATTTACAGACCGCCGCCATATTACTGGAATATTGCTGAGCGCGGCGTAAAACTAAACTCACTCACTCTTCCTCAAGGCCATCCTCTCCATATTCGTATCCATTTTCGGTTGTAGCATCATGATACTGTTGATACTCAGACACAAAGTCGCCTGTGTTGGACTCGGCCTCAGTGAACTCCATCTCATCCATACCCTCACCAGTGTACCAGTGAAAAAGGTATGGCTTGCAACGGAACATAGCGATGAACTGCCCAGAGCTAAGCTTGAAGACTTCGTGTATAGCTGTAGTGTTGCTAATGAAGGTGGAGGACATTTTCAGCCTTTGTGGAAGTACATCACAGACGGCCTTTTTCACATTGTTGGGGATCCACTCCACAAGGTATGAGCTGCACTTGTTCTGGACGTGAAGCATCTGTTCATCAAGCTCCTTCATGGACATATTTCCGCGGAATATTGCCGCTACTGCTAGGTAACGGTCATGACACCGGTCACATGCAGCCATCATGCTCCTGGAGACAAACATCTGCAGCGTAAGTTCTGGAACAGTCAGGGACTGGTACTGCTGGACCCCTCTCGCCACGAGAGGGACACATCCGGGTCGCATGCAGCCATCATGCTCCTGGAGTCAAACATCTGCTGAGTAAGTTCTGGAACAGTCAGGGCTTGGTATTGCTGGCCCCCTCTCTCCACGAGGAAGGACAAATTTGGTATTGCTGGCCCCCTCTCTCCACGAGAAGGACAAATCCGGGTCACATGCAGCCATCATGGTCCTGGAGTCAAACATCTGCTGAGTAAGTTCTGGAACAGTCAGGGCTTGGTATTGCTGGCCCCCTCTCTCCACGAGAAGGACAAATCCGGGTCACATGCAGCCACCATGGTCCTGGAGTCAAACATCTGCTGCGTAAGTTCTGGAACAGTCAGGGCCTGGTTCTGCTGGCCCCCTCTCGCCACGAGAGGGGCAAACCCGGGGACGAAGAAGTGGAGACGAGGGAAAGGGACCATGTTGACAGCTAATTTGTGGAGATCAGCGTTTAGCTGACCGGGAAAGCGGAGACATGTTATGATGCCGGACATAGCAGCAGACACAAGGTGATTAAGGTGACCGTAGGTAAGACCGGTCAGTTAGAGGGTCCTCGAACACATGTCATACAGGGAGGGCTTCGTTGTCCATGCGGAAGGTCTCATCACTGTTCTCAACAAGATGCTTGATAGACAATGCTGCATTGTTAGGCTCCACTGGCACGTCAGAAACCTGATGGGAATCGAATAATAATTCGCAGAGACATTACTGATAATATCTATCAAGAAGACTTCTATAGTTAAGGGCGGTGGGGTAGCCTAGTGGTTAAAGCGTTCGCTCGTCACGCCGAAGACCTGGGTTGATTCCCCACAAAGGTTCAATGTGTGAAGCCAATTTCTGGTGTTTCCCGTTGTGACATTGCTGGAATATTGTTAAACGTGGAGTAAAACTAAACTCACTCACTCACTCTTAATATGTATGTATCGATCTCTATACAGACGAGGCGGGCTCATTAACCTATTGTATTTGTGGTTCAGGTGGCGCATATGAGGGTACTAATCTACCAGTCAGTCGAATTTCCTTCACCGTTCTATAAGAACTCTATGGAAATATATATTAGGAGAATAACAAGAATTGTGACCAGTTATTCCCTATTTTTTCTAATACCATATACCGCCTCCGTGGTGTAGTGGTTAGAGCGTCCGCCCGGAGAGCGGAAGGTCGCGGGTTCGATCCCCGACCGCGTCATACCAAAAGACGTTTAAATATGGTACTTGATGGTCCCTGCCTGACGCTCGGCATTAATGGGTACAACAAGAACTGGTCGGCTCGGAGTCAGTATACTGTGTCTGAGTGGGGTATTCATGCTTCACTGCGGCATGGTATCTCAGTGAGCTAGCACTATAAAACCAGCTTCAGTCTGGGCTAGTACAAGCAGCCGCACATACACATACACACGCATGCACGTCGTCATATGAGGTGGGGCAGGATACGTTCACTTTTCGCAAGCCCCTGGTATCATCACTATTTCATAGTGATTAATAAACACATGCTCTGTCACCGTATCGATGGTGACAATCACGTGATTGTCTGGTCCAGACTCGATTTGTTTACAAACAACACCGCACAGCTCTGATACTGCTGAAACAAACATATACTCATGATATAGTCACAATTGTACAATCGACACTGATTTTAGCAGAGATTTCTTGTGGATGTGGAAAGGGTTTTGTCGCTTTTATTATCGGAAATCGTTTGGGAGTTCAACACACTGGACACTGACATGCAGGAAGAAAGCCGGACAATTCGGTTTGTTTATAATTACGGTAGGAACCGCTGTAGTACAGGCCTCTTCTCTGTTTTGAATGTGTGCACAAGCGGAAATAGCACCACCGCTTGCGGGTTTAAACACATACTCTTTAAGTTATGGGGTGAAAAACACTTCGCAACCTGAAGGTATAAACTCATATCCGGGCCCACGTGCTTCGAGACATTTTACTGTTTAAGTCATCTGTCATTTCGCAGGTGCTTGAACAACCTATCAGCCTCATGTTTAAAGCCATCAATCGCCTGTCTGAGGGTATACTATTCTTTGAAATATTTTACAAATAAGTATAACATAATTTTTCATTTAATAAAAGATCAAATGTGTCATTTTGATCATTTTATGTCAGTGGTTGACAAGGTGAATGAGTGAGTGAGTTTAGTAACCCATGCTTGTCGTAAGAGGCGACTAATATTGCTTAGTCCGGCGTAAAACTAAACTCACTCACTCAACTACTGGCCTTTTACGTCCAGACTGGTTTTCACCATCGCTGGCGTGTATGTACATATATTTATATATTTAACGAATACAACCGTGTGTTGATGTGCTCCAATGTCTAACTTTTGTGATTACAAAAGGATAGTTAGATATGTATTATGTCCATTCATTGTGTTTGTCGTTACCTCAGCCTATACGCTGTCAAAAGATCCATCGCTGTGACAAGCTGCAGGACCGCTGATGCAGCGTTGAACAATACTCACTCACTCACTCACTCACTCACTCACTCACTCACTCACTCCTCCCACTCACTCACTCACTCACTCACTCACTCACTCACTCACTCACTCACTCACTCACTCACTCACTCGTCAAGCTTTTGTCCTTACCTATTTCAAAACGTGCCTTAACATCTATCCATCAGTTTAACTCGACCTTCAACAGTTTATGCAGTTGTACACACTGGGTTCACTGTTTAGCATATGGACAGGTAACATTTATTACGTTTAATGTCTTGATTGACTATAAATGCCACAAGCTCCATGGATACAGGTTTTAGGAGGATCAAGGATAAAGACTGGCTTTGTAAACAAAGGTAATCCTTGTTCTTGGCTGTCTCCATGATGCCTTACCTAGAACGTGTTCTACCTAGTTAATACGGACACTCTTCATTACGGCAGGAGCGGTGGGGTAGCCCAGTGGTTAAAGCGTTCCCTCGTCACGCAGAAGACACGGGTTCGATTCCCCACATGGGTACAATGTGTGAAGCCCATTTCAGGTGTCCCCCGCCGTGATATTGCTGGAATATTGCTAGACGCGGCGTAAAACTAATCTCACTCACTCACTCATTACGACAAATACATATGAACACATGGGTAACATTTAAAAGTGTTCAGTAGGTTATGAGTGAGGCATGGATTTAAATCACAAACCTGTTGAACAATCTATTTATAGATTATAGGGATGTCTCACTGGGGTCTCATTGTATAACAGTAAATATTTACTGATAATGTTTGTTTTGTTTTGTTTGTTGATTGACTCAACAATATTCCAGCTATATGGCGGCAGTCTGTAAACATTCGAGTTTTGACCAGACAATCATGTGATCAACAGTATGAGCATCGATCTACGCAGATGGGATACGATGACATGTGTCAACTAAGTCACCGACCCTGACAACCCGATCCCGTTAGATGACCAACGTGTGTTGCTGAAGGCCAATTACTGACACTCAGCGAGTTTGGTTTTATGCCGCTTTTAGCAATATTCCAGCAATATCACGGCGGGGGACACCAGAAATGAGCTTCACACATTGTACCCATGTGGGGAATCGAACCCGGGTCTTAGGTGTGATGAGCGAACGCTTTAACCACTAGGCTACCCCACCACCCAAAATTATTAAGAACCATACCCAGAGAGAACTGGTCACTTTTATACAATGTATATCACACATCGAAACACGCTAATCAATCGTACAACCTATTGTAAACAACCGGAAACCTTATTATAATCATAGCTATTGCAAAAAGAATTATCAATGAATCATATCACATTTTCATCCCCGGACAAATATCCAGTACCATCTGTGGCCGCACCAAAGAAAATACATCACCGAGAGCAATGTTAAAAGTCAGAATTGATTGTTATATTTGTCAAGACTACCGGTATCTAATTAGTCAGAGATGTATCTCTACCCATGGCTGTCAAACATCAAAGATCACAACGTCATAGTTGTCAATATCATGAGTGAGTGAGTTTAGTTTTACGCCGCACTCAGCAATATTCCATATTCCAATATGGCGGCGTTCTGTAAATAATCGAGTCTGGGCCAGACAATCCAGTGATCAACAGCATGAGCATTGATCTGCGCAATTGCGAACCGATGACATGTGTCAACCATGCCAGCGAGCCTGACCACCCCGATCCCGTTAGTCGCCTCTTACGACAAGCATGGGTTACTGAAGGTTCATTCTAACCCGGATCTTCACGGGTGTCAATATCATGAAGATTGTGGTAATCAGTAAAAGCGTGATAGCGTGATCGTCCGAAAATATCGTACATACGTCAACATTAACATATCGCGGAAAGGATAAATGTGTTGTTAATGCAATAATGGTTTAAGTGACGATTCATAGGTTTAAACCAAGGATGGGACTTCCGCTTGTATATAATTATATATATATAGTTATCTGGTGTACTTGGTGCGCAAGACATAAAACTGGAATCGTGACACTATGATTACCCATACCTTCAGATAAACAGATGGCACTGCGGGTAAACAACATGGCTGAAAGATGCCTTAAGGTGTTTGGTGCTAGGCGGTGATAAGGCGTCAACAATGACTTCTTTTCCTGCTTCAATTGCCTGCCAGGACGCCGTTGTCTCACGAACCGTGTTCAAGCATCTAATGTTGTGTTTAGAATAATGAAATAGAAGGGTGTCGTGACAATGCAGATGACCAACACAATGTACTGGGGGTGTATAAATAATTTTGTTTCTGTGGTAAACATGATATTATAGAAACACAAGATGTCACTAAATATTACTGTGTCTGTAGTAAACATGCAATTGTCCAGAATGATCTGAATTGAATAAAATTAGGCTCCATCTTTGGATAATTTAAGATGGATGTTTTCTAATGAAAACAACTTCAAGTTGGAGGGGAAATGGTTCCCATAAGTAGATCGCCTAACAAGTCTTACAAGGCATTCAAACGTTAAGGCCAGAGACCAACCAGTCTCCATTACCCGGCGAAACATATACTCTCCCAAAAAAGAAACGCATCATGAAAATAGCAGTTTCATTTAGCAATGAATTAAAACGTGATTCATTTTACAAAAGGTTTTGCACTTTTTATGAGTCTTATGGTGTTTATGTTTTGAAACATCACAACAAAACGCACCATCCGTAAAATAACCGTATTTAACAGCATGATTTTCAATTTCGGCGTGTAGTGTCACAGAATACACAATTCACATGTAATGCACGTGAAAGTTGGGGATCAGATAGTCTCAATGATGGGTATAAAAGGTTGATCGCTGTCTGTCGATTATTCACTGTATTTGGAATATTGTTGACGAACGCAAAATGCCACGTTTAAGTGAAGCCAACCGTCATATCGCCATTGGTTTGCTTGAAGCTGGCCAGTCTCAACGTGCAGTTGCCCGACGCATGAATGTTCACCAAAGCACCATTTCACGGCTCTGGGAGAGATATCGCCGGCAGAATGCGGTAGCAGATGCCCCTCGTAATAGGCGACCTCGAGCGACCACTGCGGCGCAGGATCGCTACATCCGGGTCATCGAACGTCATCACCTGCGTCATCGAACAGCTACGGCGACCAGTACCGCTCGACAAATACCCGGATTGAGGGGGCTTTCTGCACAGACCGTCAGGAACAGGTTGAGAGAGGCTGGTTTACGTGCCAGAAGACCTTATTTTAGCCCTGTGCTTCGACAACAACATCGTC